CATCATTCTAAAATGTCGACTCTGCACGGCGCTTTACATAGTAATAGGCAGACCCAAAGATGTATAAATGTTTATAATAGATTAGAATCTGTGATCCTCTACCATATAGATGTAACCATTTGGGGGTGAAACAAAAACCGTTTATGAAAAACATGTAAAATCAGTACAGAGTTCTAAAAAAACGGACCCCAAAAGTCATTCATCCCCTTGTTATCCACCCTTAGAAGTAAAATATCGACTGTGAACTGGCAATCGGTACTACCTCGACGGTATGAAAAAAAAATTGTTTACGTCATTTATATAGCATCTGGTTTATTAAATAAAAATACGTCGTTTTTTAATATTTTTATTACACATGACGTGTATGTACACTACATATATTTATTTAATAAACCAGATTTTTATAGATAAATGATCATTTATATAGATAAATGATTTTTTCTTCAACTGTAAAGTTGACAGTTCAGAGTCGATACCCTCTTTCCAACAAAAATGAATCACCAAAATCGTAAAATACATATCGAGTTCTTAGGTTTTCGCGATTGTTACACATAGGAAATGAAACTATTTTTCCGGATTTAAATCTCGTATATTTGTTTTTTCAAACAAACCGACGTGACTCAACCGTCAACCGTCAACAGTCAACCGTGACCATGGGACCTGTAAAGGGCCCGACACGTCGGTTTGTTTGAAAAAACAAATATACGCGATTTAAATCCGGAAAAATATTTTCTTTTCCTATGCGTAACATACATACTTAAAAAAACATACAGCCGTATTGAGAAGCCCTCTTTTGTTTTAAGTCGGTAAAAAATGCATTAAATAACAGACTGTATGTATTGAGTAACTATTGATTATCTTGCCTGTAGCGTGAGGTATCACAATGCACCTACTTGCAAGATGGAGTTTCAAATGAAGGATTTGTGAAATTTACTAAAACTATAATATAAATATGTATGTTCCCTTAACATCTCTTTTTAATCGACTTCAAAAAAGGACGAGGTTCTCAATTGGACTGCATTTTTTTTTGTGTACGTTACGCGATTACTCGATTATTTGTGAACCGACTTTGATGATTCTTTTTTTGTTGGAAAGAAGGTAACTCAGTATTAGTCCCATTTAAATTTAAAGACAATATTCCACCTGTAAGGGTGGCAAATTTGGGGATGAAACCGTTTTGCGCACTTTCCGGTAACCGATAACAATAAAACTCGGCAAATAGATGTAATTCCACGAACTTTTGAGGTAGATTTTTTTTAATAAAAAAGTTGCACTTATTAGTTTATTGAAAAATTTTAAAGTTGTGGAAATCAGTAAATTTATACATTTAACAGATTAAAACAACAGTCAACAGTCTGCAAAATAAATTTCTTGTTCCGATTTTAGCTCGAGAAACGTCGCTCAATTCTCGTCCCTTATGGGAAAAAACTGCTCGCGAATATCCTCATAACTTTCCATAATTTTATTTAGAACGACATTTTTATATATAGTTCTGTTTATATTTAGAACATAATTCATAATTCATTTATTTATTGCAATCTTGTGGTTGACATGGTGTACATTTAAAAAAATTCAGTACCTAGACATGAACCCTGGTAGGGTACAGCAACTTATTAAACATTCAAATTATTTAACTATTCTAAACAAAAAATTTAAAATAAAATTGAATAAACAAAATCAAACTAAAATTAAACATGGACATGAAAGGAAATTGAAATTAATTCACTTTACATTATCATTTTGATTATTAATTACATTTTGTATATTCATATTTTTTAGTTAATTTATTGTTGTCCGTTGTTTATTATTAAATATATCAAACCATTTTATTTCAAAAACTCTTGCCACGAATAGAAGCCTTTTAATAATAAAAATTATTTTAGTTCATGTTTAAATTTTTCTAAATTGTTTTCGGTCTTTATATGTTCTGGTATTTATTATGAGTCTTTACCGCCATTGCAAAGGGACCAGTGTGAATTAAATTTAATTTTGAATTTGAAGAAGAAGAACTTTGGTATAAAGTCAAAAGCACGTCAAGTCAAACACTTAATACTTAAATTCAACTTTTTGCCACTTGCAGTACGCCCGCATCCAAAGTACTAAGTGTTAAATTTGATGTCCAATTAATTGTACAGCTTTTGAAGAGTAGCAGCAGTAGAGTTTCTTGTGAAAGACTTGGTCAAGGGAAGTACTGCCACCTTGTATTTCTTCCGCCAAGGAGTAATTTGAGCATTACTGCGTTCCGATTTTGCAGAGTTGATGAGCGTAATAGCACATTCCCCTCAGATCTGTGCGATTTACAGCTCTGAGTGGCACTGCAAGTGCTACGGACAGCAAGTCCCGTCACTTAGTAATACAGAAAAAGAAATAAGTGTACATTTATACTTTAAACATTCGATAAGAAATAAATTATGTGCAAAAATAAAAACCTGAAACCTTTCAATTGATAATAAAGTGATAAGCATTATGTGTGACAGAAAATATTAACAAAAACTTATGTTACTAAAGGAAATACCAAAAGAAGAAGTTACAAAACAAAAAGGAAAATATTTTACTGAATTTTTAACCACATTTTTAGTCAAGGACTAATTTAATTGACTCATTTACACGCTAACGATTTTGAAAATTGTCCAACTAGGACAAGGATGTCCTTCACTTTTTATCTCATAAACAAACCTATAAAGTGATAAAAAAGATTCCCCTTAACTTCAAATAGTCAATAGCTCAAAGGGGGCGCCTGCACAGGGCGATAAAAATCTAATACAATTCCACCAATTTATCTTTGCGGTTCGAAAAATTGCTAACTGAAGTTGTGATATTTGCAATAAGCTTTTATCTACATGAAAAAATCCTACAGTAAAATTGTGATTTCTGCATTGAAAGGTTTGTATCTTCTTGATATATCTTCTGAAGTCCATCAATAGATCCTAACCAATTTTATATAAGAGCACACTTTTTCAAAATACATAAAATCTAACATAAATCTATACATGTACCTGTCTTTTATAAACGTAAACAAACACGTACAAAAACAAATAGGAATCTCTTTTTTTAATTCGTTTAAACTTCAAAGCTAAAAGCCAAATTAAATGTTAAAATTAAAAACAAAACTGAGAATCGGGCGAAATGGCTCACATTGGGAGAGGCCTATATCCAGCAGTGGACTGCGATAAGCTGATGACAATGACTATGATGGCATTCAATTATACTATTAGATGTTTGTTTTGATTCTATGTTTTATTTTCAGTGCCTATCAATAAATAAACAATCTTTCATTACTGTCAGCGTCTTCTTATTACAAGATGATAAAACACTATGTCTTATATTTACGTTTATCATTATTGCATAGAAATTTTAAATTTATCCATACTTGTAATGTACGCAATCCATTTTGCCGAATAAACATAAATAAATCTGCAGAAATAACTTTGTTTCGGGCGTCGTAACCCCATGGGAATTGTATTGGAGTCTGAAGTTCTGAAGACTGTCACCGCCGTCTAACGCTGGGGACGATTGAATGGTCTTGATCGTCACTAATTCCAATATCTATTTCTTATTGACTTTTCCAATAACGTCAATTTCATTTATTGTTATTTGAAGACACAAATGAGTAGAAATAGTACTTATGGAACTACACGAGGATGTAGTAGTCAAATTTTCATTAAAATTGTTATTAGTAATTATCGTATGAAGGTTTTAATCGTATGTAAGCCCATTGTTAATTTAAAAGTGATTTTATCTGTCTCAGCGAGGCTTGATCCTCAGACTCAGCGGTTACACTGTGCTCTAAACAAAGACGTCCGGATTCGATTCCCGATAGAACCAATTTCAAATTGGAAAATAGATTCTAGTCTGATTTTCTGGTTAGTGCCCCGATGTTCATTTCGTTGCTTTGGTACTCATAACACAGAGAATTTCTTATATTGAAACCAGTTAGTTGGTGTCCTCCACATTCACATCCACATCTCCCACAGTGCAAACCGTTGGGTCACCAAGGAAATCAAACCCAGGACCCAGAACGCTCTGATCAGAATCAGCATAGAAAAGTTCCGCTGTTCCTAAGAATCCGGGCTTCCATGGCCGTGTCGCGTGTGCCTACGCCGTCACGCGCCGTCGTGAGAGGTCCGCCGCCCAAGCACGTACGGGCTCGCCTGCGAATGCCCGTCGGATCCACCGTGTGTCGGTACCTTCAAAAGCGCGGCGCAAAAGCACGTGCGTTTGCCGATTAGTCCTTTGACCGTGTTACTTAATTTGAATAATTAGTATGAATCGGTAAAGCAAACTCTTGTTGAATGATATTGATAACACCGGTTACTTTTTTACTGGTGACTTTTTTTAACTAAGCTGTATGCCCTGTCAAGATGCTGCAGAAACGTAAATAAATTCACATGATACACTCATCAAGGATCAAGCTCGTTTTTGCACATTACTGAAAATCTAGTTTTTAATTTTTTTTTAACACGATTGGTTTTTTTGCTTGATTTAATAATTTATAAATAAATAAATATTTAATAAATTTATATAGATATTTTAAAATTAATTTTAATAGGGTAATCATATATTAAAAAAATACCTTGATCCTTTTTGATGTGTGTATTTTCGAATGGCAACTCGCTCTCCGTCTGATATCCGTCCGAAACAATTACTGCTAAATAAGCAATACTCGACCAAATGAAAAGACGCGTGAATGCGAATGAAGCTTCATTTCAGGATACTTGTCTTTTAATTTTATCGAATATTACTTATTTTACAGTAATTGTTTCGGACGGATGTCGGACGGAGACCGAGAGTAGCCCCCCAGAATAGAGCACTCTACACGCGCCACCACACTCGTCTGTGGCGCGAGCTCACCCGTGCAAATCACGGGTCGTGGGAACAAACCTAAGAAGTGCGTAAAGTAATAGGTACTTAGACACTTCGTATATTAAGCTACAGATATTTCTGCCTTAGTTATCTACAAATTTGTTTGTTCATAAAACTCTAATGCATGTTTCTTTCAGATGCTCCTATTCTAGTCTACATCCACGGCGGTTATTGGCAAGAGCTATGCAGAGAGGTGTCACGCTACCCAGCACGTCCTCTATATCGTTTTAAAGTGAAGACAATTGTGGTTGGTTACGACCTCTGTCCGGCTGCTACGCTGCCCGAGATCGTAAACCAAATTGAGAATGCTGCTAAATTCGTGTTTGAATATGCTGAAAAGATGGGATCTAGGTTCGTATACAAATTAGCATGTTTTTTTTTAAGTTTTGTACATAAACGGTAATAAAATTTAAATTAACATTTTTAAACCCCCGATAGAAAACAATGTATTCCAAACTATGAACAATGTTACCATCCGCAAGTTAAGTTAAAATCGTCGTCTATTTATGCCGCTTAGCAGTAATGTAAGCATAAGCGTTTCGGTATTGAAGGGTAACGATGCAGATGAAATCATAAGCACGTGGGATTTTTTGACTTATGTCTCAGGGTGACGGGCGCAGCGGCAGTGCCCTTCAGATATTTGCGATTTAAAGCTCTGGGTGGCACTGTAACTGTTATGGACGGGCGTGTAGCTCTACCACCAAGCGCACGATATATTCGTTCCATCACTTGGTACCATAAAAAACAAAAAAGTTGAGAAGTTAGGTGATTTGCAAACTATCCTGATTACATTCAACGTCAACATTCAACGAAGTTTGACAAACCCTAGGTCCTTGCAAAAGAAGTCCGTTATCTACCCAGGATGCTGCGAGAGGCCATTGAAATTAAAAAAACATCTTAATTTCAACAGGGAAGATGGTTTCTCCGTACCACCAGTTTGGGATCCAGTATTTCCTCTAATGAAAAATCCCAAACAGACATAAGACTGCAGTACTAATTAATATGTTTTAATTTATTCTAATTTCTATTATTATATAACAATAAATTGAACTTAATAAAAATTCATTCAATAAAATAATTTGTAAAACTTAATTTAGGGTAAATTGGAATGTTTTCTTTGTAAAATTAAAAATAAGGTATTTAATTAATAACTACTTTTATTATTGTAAATATAGTGAAAAAATAGGGTGGTTTGCATCAATATTAGACATAACTGGTTGAAGAAGGTACCACCTCAGTCAACCGTGTCCATGGGATCTGTACAGGGCCCGAAACGTCGGTTTGTTTAAAAAAACAAATATACGCGATTAAAATCAGGAAAAATAGTTTCATTTCCTATGTGTAACAATCGCGAAAACTTAAGAACTCGATATTATTAGATATGTACCTAAAAAAGTGTTCACAACGGGTCACAGACTCCTACGTTACAAGTTTTTTTAGTTTAGCAGCCAACGAATCGCTTAATTTACCAGCAAATGTTATTATCGTGAATTAAAGTTCTTGTTATTAATTCAAAATTAATCGTTTAGGTCATGGTACAGGCAATAATCTGAAATAATAATAAGTGATGTATTGGTCTCAACCAGAGATAGGCAAGCGCTCCCGGGCTTTAACAAAGCGCTTTGTTAACTCGGATTAAATCGGGCTAACACCGGAAATGCCCGAAATCGAGGGTAAAACCTACTCACAACTAAATATTTGTTGTAAATCGACTTTTGTACAAATTTAATAATATTATTGCAAAATGTTTATTGCTATCTGATCTAGACGATTTGCCTTTCTATTGAATCGAATCACTTGAAAATCGTATTGAAATAAATCGATACAAAAAATCGTTGAGATTGTATACACTCGAATCGATCTTCATAAAAATGGAATCATAATATGCATCCTTAGTAGTGAGAATACCTACATAGGATTGCAAGGTGGGTATTGTGTGGAGTTGCCTCTTTTTCGTCTAAGAAAGATTTTTTACATCGTAAATTGTAATAATTAAGGAATTAATGCTACATTCCGCCCATGATTTTGGGCAGAAATAGGTTAAAACCCACTGCCCATCTCTGGCCTCAATATGTGTTACCAAATAAGTAAATTATATTTTAAAAAATTCACCACTACTTATGTTATGTTTTCAGAGGAGTATACTTCGCAGGACACTCGGCAGGAGCGCATCTTGTAGCCAAACTTCTGGCCAGTGCAGACTTCCTAGAGAACACCCTAGGCTCTAAACGTCTACAAGGCGCCTTCCTCATATCAGGAGTATACGACTTAAGAGAGATTGTCCATACCAAAATCAACGATCGAGTGCAGCTTCCACACGAGTGGGCTATCTCCCTCTCTCCTCAGTTCGATGACTACGCGCATCTGCAAGTTAGAAGAGTACGACTATATATCATAGCAGCTCAATATGATAGTCCGACATTCAAGAAGCAATCAAGAGACTTCTACGAACTCCTCCACAACACATGTTTGATGCAAAACATGTATTTCGAGATTAAAGACGGAATGGATCATTTCAACATTGTTGAATATCTCACAAACGACGATAATTATCTTCGCAATTTACTTGTACACGATATTCGTAAGCATTTGTGAATTTATTAACGGCTTCTTAAATGTGGTGTCAATCTAATGTTAAATAAATCAAAACAAAAGGTTTGTAAGTATATTTATACAGAATTTGTTAATGAGCTATTATAATAGCTATTTACTTATGCTGATATAGGAACAACATATATATACGTTGTGTAAATACATTGTTGTCAACGATTTTAGCCACGTATTCTGCTCAGTAATTATCTTATTATTTTTAAAATTAATTGGAATAACAAAACGTTACAAAACAAAATTCACAAACCAAATCATTTTCCCAAAGATTTTTTCGTGTTTATTTAGTTAACAGTGTTTGTCATTTTTAGTCAAAAATTAAAAAGACAAAGCCATGAATCAGCATAATATTTAATTATGCGATAATTGTCAGATAATTATCATGATAAATTATCAATTAAAATAAATATCTTGATAATTTTGTACCCTGATTCTACTCGTGAATTCGAATATCTTTTTCTATAGCGGCTGTAATTCATTCGAAACAAATTCAATGCTCCATATTATGAACTTTTACTAGCTGACTTCTGGAATGGTAATGAAAATTAAAACTTTAGAAACCACGTTACGACAATAAGTTATTTATACGTACACACCATCATATAGAAACTCACTGAATATATGTAATACATATATGTAATCTTATGTAGATATATAGATGGGCCGCACCTAAAGTACCCTGCAATGTTACAGTAGAATAGAATATAATCTTTAATTCCATTAGAATTTAAGATTCAAAATATAAATCCAGATGCAAAATAATAAATAACATAATAATTGTAAGTAACAAAATAAATTGACATACATGCAATTCAGCTAGTATGGAAAAGAGTTATAAAGAATAAGTTCCCATTTATGTGGGAGAAATTTTTCTACACAGATTCTACATCCAATAAAATAAATTTCGGCCGGATATAAAACGTCATCGTCTTTTGTGACTTTTATAGATTGGCGCGTAGATATTAGTGGTATCGAGGCCACCCGCAGGTTTTTAAGCTTAATCTGTGGCTGATATTTGATATGATATGATACTATAACAAACCACATTAAAATTTGTAAATTTTTAAACAGATGTAATTGATAAACAATTGCCTACCCGCTATGTGTTCGATAATAATAAATTTAAAATCTCCAAGTATCATTTGTTTAAGTGCATTTATGACAAATTCCATCCAATTAAAATAATACAAATAATAAACAACTAAAATAATTCGGATAACGTGTGATGTTATGCTCTGTATTCAGTCAAGATTGGTGTTTTGATATTAAAAAAATAATGACATAAAATGTAAATATATTGATAATTGCAATAAAAAATAAACAGATTAATGAAGTAGTTTTAATTACTGGAAATTACACTATGTTTTTGAATAAAAAAAAACCGTAAGTAAAAGCAGCCATGTGTCGTGGTTGTGGGCTCGAATCGTGGGCTTGCTTTAAATTTAATTTAAAATTTACCATGAGCTTTTCGGTGAAGCAAACTTGTGAGAAAACCTGCACACATCTGCAAGGCAATTTACTGATGTGTGTGTTTTTTTATTAAACCAAGTGGTGGCACTGTTCGTCCCACACACGTAGGTGGTAAACGACACGCCTGTCTATGACAGTTGCAGTGCCATTCAGAGTATTAAATCACACTAGGCTGATGCTCTATGTAATGGAATTGCTGTATCACTTAGAGCTTTATATCGCAAAGATGTGAGGGGCACTGCCACTGCGCCTGTCATCCTGCGACACAAGTTGAAAGTCCCATGTGCCTTTTTTTTCACCAACATGCTTACCCTATATAACATAATATTTTTTATAAAAAACCGACCTCAAAAATTCTTGGTATTACGTCTATTTGCCAAGTTTTATTGAAATCGGTTACCAGAAAGTGCGCGAAACCGGATTCGTGCCATTGTTTGCCACCCTTAGAGAATGGAATATTTTCTTTAAATGGGACCAAGAATCATCAAAATCGTAACATGAACACAAAAAATCCACCTTTTTTAAAGTTGGTTAAAAACCGAAACGCAGTAATGCTGACAATACTGCTTCGCGGCAGAAATGTAAGGTGGCAGTGCTTCCCTGAACGAACTCTTTCACATAAAGCTCCACTGCTACTAATTCTCATTGGGCCCACGTCATCGAGTATATAACCAGAAATAGAGACGAAATGTCAATAGTCAGTCAGTCTCTTTATAGGTCACATGGCTACGGCTGATTCAATAATAATAATAATAGTTTGCCTATAGTCCCGCTGATGGGCATAGGCCTCCTCTCACAAACTTTGGGCTAGGGTTGTAGTTTACACGTGGGCCATCGAGTATATAACCAGAAATAGAGACGAAATAAGGGCCATCCATTCCTGGCAACTTATCAAGCAAATGGGCCTTATACCACGTTTAAATATCAACTCTCATTTGCACTGAAATCACAAATTAGAAAACTGAAATACTACAGCGCCAACAACTGACCCGTGTGTCCGTCTCCGTATCTTCCAAAAATATTCTGTATTTATTGTAATAAAGATAATATCTCAAACGATGGGCGCTGTTCCATTCGGTGGTGTGGGAAAAATAGCAAAACATCTAATTACAAAACAAACGGAATCACATTTCATCGGTAATTAAATATTAAATATGTAATTTTGCAATTTTCCATGCGTCCATTATAGCAAAGCTCAAGTTAACTGTTCGATTCGAAGTGAAACAATTGACGACACCCGTCAATTGTTTCGAATTCGGGCTGGCCAATCGGAGCGCAGTTGGCTCCGTAATGATTTGACTGAATGGTTACAATAACGAACGGTTACGGAGACTGTAAAAAATTTGACTTGTTTGCCACGCAGAGTTCCCGAGTTCGATTCCCGGGCCAGGAGACATATTCGTATGACCTACATTTAATTATCTCGTGAATTTTCTTTTGTGCTGTATGGTGTCCATGACACACGTATGCAGGGTTTCCCTAGTGCGGGCTATGAGTGTTTGTGTTATTATTATTATTATATTAACATAATATAATAATAATAATAACGTAACATAATATAATAATAAATAATAATATAATAATAATATTAACATAATATAATAATAATAACACATTATGTAGATTCCTAATAAATGGGTGAAAAGAAATATTTTTTTTTAATGTACAGACTGGTGGTTCTAGTAATCTACATTTTAAGGGTCTTTACATTTGAAAAAACTTTTTGTTTTTAATTTTTTTTTGATACGAAGTGACGGAGCGAACAAGTCGCGTGGGCCTGATATTAAGCGACACGCCTATCCATAATAGTTGTAGTACCACTCAGAGCTTTAAATCTCAAAAATCTGAGGTGCATTGCCATTGCGCCCGTCACCCAGACATAAGTTGATAAGTCCCATGTGCCTGTAATTTTACCAGCATTCTTATCCCTTCAAAACCGAAACGCAGTTCTAATGTAGCATGTTCCCGGCGTGCGGTCGGGACAACTACACTATTGTTTACCTATTGGAATTAATTATTGAAGATTCTATAACTAACAAAGGACATCAACACCAAGTTTTTTTTTTTTTAATATATAATAGACACACGCTTGGCCACAATCTCACCTGATGTTAAGCGACGATGTGACCGACGATGGGACGCGTTTGCCTAAAAAATGCCTATTCACTCTAGCCTTGAATAGCCCCAAATTGTACTTTTCGGGAAATACAGAGCATTCCATTCCTTTGCCGTACGCATCAGAAAGGAGGAGGCAAAGCGCTTAGTGCGAATAGGTGGAATATCAACGACATAAGAATGGAGTGCTCCGGACCTTCTAGTCGACCGAAGGAGGAACGGTGAGGGCGGAACCAAATTGAAAAGTTCCTGCGCACACTCCCCGAAATGTATCCGATAGAAAACCGACAAGCAGGCTACTTTTCTGCGATGATCGAGATTTTGGAGCTTCGACTCCACAAGAGGATTATTGTTAATAAGTCTCTTTGCTTTACGCTCCACCGAGTCCAAGGCAGCTAACTGGTATTGGGCAGAGCCGTCCCAAAGGTGGCAGCAGTACTCCATACAGGATCGAACTTGTGCTTTATACAGATTTAAAAGCTGTTCAGGTGTGAAGTACCGCCTGACCTTGAAAAGTATGCCTAGTTTTCAGGCAGCAGTTTTTGCCAAGCACTCGATGTATCGCCCAAAGTTGAGGTTGGATGATAAGTCCAGACCAAGTAGCTCAAGGTGGTCCCTTATCGGCACGGATACACCTCGGAAAGTCGGAGTAAGGTGTAGGGGACTCCGTTTTGATGAGAAAAGACACGCCTGTGTTTTAGCCGCATTAAACCTGACCCTGTTAGCATCTCCCCAGTCGGAAGCAGCTTTCAGACTCAGGTTCAACCGGGTGACCATCGCCTCTCGCTTACACCGGATCTCTTCACTGTTGTCTCGGGCGTCTGGCACATAACTCACCGCCACTGTGCTGTCGTCTGCGTACCCAAAGATACCGGGCATCAGCAGCAGGTCGTTGATATGCAGCAAGAATAGAGCGGCGGAGAGGACAGATCCCTGAGGTACACCGGCATTTATACCATGAGGAGCAGACGAGTAACCATTTACAACTACACGGATTGACCTATCCTTCAGAAAATCGCCTATCCATGTGCAAAAGCCAACAGGAATTCCGTAAGCTGGAAGCTTGTTTAACAGGCTATCATGCCAAACCCTATCAAAGGCCTTTGATATGTCGAGAGACACGGCAAGCGATTCACCGCGTTTCTCGACAGCCTCGCGACATAAATGTGTGGCGTACGCAAGAAGATCCCCAGTAGATCGTCCACGGCAAAAACCATATTGTCGATCACTGAGGAGATCGTTATCTTCGAGGTATCCAAGGAGACGGCTGTTCAATACACGCTCCATAGTCTTACAGAGTATGGAGGTGATTGCGATAGGTCGATAATTAGATGGGTCGGCATGGCTACCTTTCTTAGGTACAGGCTGTACATTTGCAAGCTTCCAGGATTTCGGGACTTGTCCAGAACTCATAGAGAGGCGATACAGGCGAGTCAACACCGGAGACAACTCGGGTGCACAGTTCCGCAGGACAATCACTGGGACTCCGTCAGGGCCACTGGCTTTGTTGACGTCTAATTTGCGTAAAGCTTTCAACACCTCTTTTTGACGGATAGTGATTTCGGGCATTTCCGAGTCACATCGAGGTAGTGTAGGTGGTGTTTGCAAAGTAGCGTCAAGACGGGAGTTGGAAGCAAAAAGAGAAACAAAAAGATTTGCTTTCTCTTCAGCGGTATGAGCCAGCGATCCGTCATCTCTCATTAAAGGCGGAAGGGATGACCTGCA